TGTGTGTAAATTTCAATGTCTCAAATGGGTCTCTAAACTTTAATCTAGTTTCAAATTTCATCACTTCATTACATGTAATCTTATAAATTGATGAAAACTGCTTAGCTAGAGCAGTCATACTACAATAGATCTTCCACGTAATTACTGCATGACATGCCAATTTATTATTGCACTGCATCATAATGTTTTAAAATTTAAAAGGAATACATTTTAAACCTTTAATCTAAACACATTTTCATAACCTCATTTTATCATTTTGTTTCTAAAGTGTTACATAATGATTACGTGGGAGATCAATTAAATTGTAGATTAGGAGATGTATAGGTGAATGAATGTGACATAACAGCGAGATTTAAAATCAAATTGATGTTTAAAGATCCAATTGAGACAAATTAAAATTTATGATCCAATTGAAATTTTGCTAAAAGTTCAATGGCCTCTTACGAAATTTAACCGTTTAACAGAGTCTTCTTTTCCTCATTAAATCTTACAAGAATCTTTTTTGACAGTATGAGAAGTGATGTCGAAAATATGTGCTTCCGAACACGTTTTAAGCTTAGCCAAGCATGATGTAACAAAGGTAAAAATGTCAAAACAATAATTGTAATATATTTCTCGGAGTAGTAGTTTCTAATGATCACTAAAGATCAATTGACAGAAAATGTTAACCAAACGGTTCTAACTAGTGCATCAAGTCAGATATAATCGCAAATTTTATAGAAATTAATCTAAAAAACACCATTATATTTTGCACTTGTGTGATACGTTTTACACTGATTTTTTTCCCCGATTGAAAATTAATTCGAACTCCACAATTTATTAATGTCCAGGCTTCAAAGTCATTTGTGTCAATGTTGATATTTAACGGTTCCAGCCAATTTACTATTAATGTAACAGCTTCAAAACTTGAATGATAAGTACTGTAACAAATATACATCAATGAGGCTGAAATTAATCCGGCAACAAAACTTTAGCCATGACTTAAAATGATGGAAAATGACATACTTGATTTTTTCAAGAGGCATAAAAAATACTCAAATATTTAACAAATACGTGCCATTGCGAAATATTTTTGATCCTGTTTTGTCTAGATAAAAGTCATATTTTTAATAAATTTTGATAAAAATTAATGAAATCTATAATTGAAAAGTTGTAGATGGGTTGTTAAACTTAATTTTGACTTAAATTTTAATTCACTTTTGTAACTAAATCAAACGAGGCTTTCTTCATTTTGGTGTGATGGCCGACCCAATTATATTAAAAGAATTTTCACCAGCAGTAGTTCTACATATAACAATACATCAACACGTAAACAAAACAATAGGAGAGTTTTGGAAAAGTACAAGGACAAATCTCACATAGTGAACGCTCTGTTATAGCTCACGTTTATAGTGGCAATTCCCCAATGGAACGAGTATAGCACATGATGTAACATTTGACATTTCGGTAAACAAAGCAGTGGACATCTCATAGCTAGAACGGTTTGAAAAATTCAAGCATTATAATATCTTCGTTACTAGAACCCGATGCACCATATGCAAATGGCATGTAAATCTTTATCGTCTCCGAGCAACTCTTTGCCCTGCTCCAACCAACAAAGCTTTTCCTATCAGCCCTGTTTGGAGTCCACAAACAAGAGCAACGGCTCCACCAATAGCCATCCATCTCCAATCAATTCCACCACAATCCCTTTGTCTCTCAGTCTTCACAACTACATCTCTCTCTTCCTCACCCGCACCAGGTTCTAGAAGATTATTTCCTTCAATGGGCGAAAATTTTGTAGTGATTCTTGCCATCAAAGCACACCTGGACAATGATGACTCGGATTTTCTAGCATTTTGATATGCTCTGAAGCCACCATGCAACTTTTTAACAGTTCCCCACATTCCATGTCGAACACCCAACTTGGCAACATCCTTTGGGATTCCCATGTCTTCATAGTGAATAAGTGTGACCTCACATGCAGATAACTGACCATCTCCTTTACGCGATTGGACTGCATTTGTTTAGAGTAAGTAATGATGGATATGAATATTTAACATTAAATTCAGGAAAGCAACCACATTATCAGGAATATTTACCGGGTTTGATGATCCAGCTCGAGAAATAAAGATCTACACGTCTAGGTTTGTCACGCCTTGACATAGTTGGATATGGTACCCCCTGCAGATGCATTTTGTATATTAAGATGCATTCCCCAATATTGACCATGAAGTTGAACTGTAGACTAAATGGCGAAAAATCAAGTCACAGGTGCAAATTGTACCAGATGAGAGGAACTGAACTAACCTAGACCTATCAATCTTATGATTTGGGGAAAAAAGACAACTTGAAAGAAAAAACCAAACAAGTAACTGACAGGCCTCCAACTTCTTAAGATTGAAAAGACAACAACGATAAATACTGGTTATTTGTCCTTCTCAATTCATAGTATCATACCTTAGTCACACAATAAAAATTTCTTCCTGCTTCCCATATCCTTCTACCAATGATATACTCTCGATCACTGCAAAAAAAAGGGAACTGCATAGGCAGGAATAGCCAAGATATCATCAATTAGGAAACTGTTGTTACAAGTGATATAATATAATCATCACTCCGGTGATATAGAATTGCAGCTTCTATTTCACAAACCTTTTTAATCCAGTGGACTATCGTCATTCCTGTATTAGGATATTCTTCTAATATTTTGAAGTAAGCAAGCATAGGATCCCATTTAAGCCGAAATTCATCATCCCAGAAAAAATCTCTGACCAGCTCGGGAGTTGCATCTTCAAAAACAGTTTTGCTGCGGTACATTATTGGACCAACCTGAGAAACCAAATGGTATATGAAGCGAATTTCGCCACATTCGGTAAGTGGCAAGAACTGGAAGAAAGAAACTTCCTTTCTTTGAGAGTCTAGATACCAGGAAGATCTCCTTGAAATCTAAAAAGTTCATTTTCCTTAATATGGTTGTAAATTAGATGCATTGAGCAACGGACAGAATTCATACAATATGAATGGAATCTAACATTGAAGCAAAAAGGTTTTAAGGTAAAACAAAAAGAAAAAGAAAAATGTGAGCAATAGGAACTATCTAGCTGTCTGCAAAATAAAATCACCAGTTTATATTATATTTGCTTCAAACCATTCAACAAGCTTAGAGCATGGAAGATACTTTTCCTGTAATGAACACAATTGATATCAAAAGGCCACATCAACATTTACCTCGGGCTCGTGACGCCAAGCTTGGTATGTCATGTTTGATGTGGAGCGCTCCATCATACCTTGCCAAACCAATTCCCCATCTTTCCCATCCAGAAGATGTAACAGGTGTTCTAGATCTTTCTCTGTGACACTATTCTTTTCAGCATCTGGACTTCCACTAGGCCTGCACAAGGGGTGGAGTCAATATTATGAATAGATTCTCCCAACAAAGCAACAAATATAATACGTTTTCAGTGGGAGGTCAAATATTCAGAGAATTAAGCTAGAGTGATAAAAAATTGCTTGATGTTTAGTAAGCAGGCATGAAAGAACTACCCCATCCAAGCACTTGACAAGTCCAGATATTGATGTTAATCACCGTATGTACCAGTCTTCCTTCATTTGTGATCTTAAACCTGACAATGGTACAGCCTTCCACATTGATTTAATTGTGTAAGCAGATTAGTAGAAGCTCAGCAATTCATTGGAGTATTCTTACAGGCTTCTATACTGATTTAGTTGTAGATAAAAACTGGTAGAACCTCGGCAAGAAACACACTTGTATGAAGATAACAAACCAGTCAATTAGCCTCTATGCTCAAACTGTTATATCATACGTATTGTATGCTTTCGATGGACATTTGTCCACTTACCCCTCATAAAGATAATCTTGTAGATGGGTTAGTCCTTGTTAATATTGAAAAGAAGATAAGTGATGAGTGGATACTTGATTCTGGCTATTCTTTTCATATGTGCCTAAATAAAAATTGTTTTCTTGATTTTGAAACTATTGAAGGACAAGTAATAATGGGAAATAGAGAGGAATCTAGTGTCTTTAAGCATCTTGGATGACATGGAGTTTGACATAAAAATAGGTCAATGACACATTAAATTTCTTAGGGGCACTGATTTGATTATTAGCACACCTAAAAGACATGGTCTTTATTTTTTTGCAATCATTTCAGCAAAGAACATAGCATTTTCAGACATAGAACAGTTGTTAACACAC